ATATCTGAAACTGAAAGAACTCAAGAAAAATTCAAGACACGAGTTTAAATATTGAAAAATGCTAAGGGAAAAATATTGACTAATGCAAGAAGTATTATGGAAGATGGAAAGTATACATAGTTACTGTACCAAAAAGAATGAGTCAGCATTCAACCATTCCAGGAGGCAGCATATGAGCAAGAACCAATGGTGCTGAAGGAAGAAGTGCAAGCTGCACGGAATGCATTAGCCCAAAACAGAGCTCCAGGAATTGACGGGATACCCATGGAAATGTTTCGGCAAGCTGATGAAGCACTAGCAGCCCTCACTCATCTATGCCAGGAAATTTGGAAGACAGCTACCTGGCCAAATGACTGGAAGAGATCCATATTTGTACCCATTCCAAAGAAAGGTGATCCACCAGAATGCTTCAACTGCGCTACAATGTCACCGATATCACATGCCAGCAAAATTTTGCTGAAGGTCATCCAATCATAGTTGCAGCAGTACATTGTCCGAGAGCTGCCAGAGGTTCAGGCAGTATTCAGAAGGGGACATGGAACAAGGGATGGCATTGCTGATGGATCTTGGCTCAAAGCTGAGACTATCAGAAAGATGTTTACTTGTGTTTCATTGACTATGCCAAGGCATTTGACCATATAGATTTAACCTTAAGAAGAATGGGAATTCAAGAACACTTCATTTTGTTCATATAGAACTTATACGCGTATCAAGAGACAGTTGTGCAAACAGAACAAGGGAATACTGAGTGTTTTAAAATCAGGAAAGGTGTGTGACAGGGTTGTATCCTTTCACCATATTTATTCAATGTGTAAGCTGAGCAAATCATCAGAGAAGCTTGATTATATGAAGAATTCAGCACCAGGATTGAGGAAGGCTTATTAACAACCTGTGATATGCAGATGACACATCCTCGCTAATCATCAGAGAAGATGGGTTATATGAAAAATTCCGCATCAGGACTGGAGGAAGGCTTATTAACAACCTGTAATATGCAAATAGCTCAACCTTGCTTGCCGACAGCAAAGAGGACTAGGAGCACTTGCTGGTGAAGATCAAGTACTGCCACCTTCTGTATGGATTACAATTCAATGTGAAGAAGACCAAAATCCTCACAACTGGACCAATAAGTAACATCATGATAAATAAAGAAAATATTCAAGTTATCAAAGATTTTGTCTTGCTTGGATCCACAAACTGTGCTCATGGAAGACTGGAGAAATCTGCTGCACAAGACCTCTTCAGAGTGTTGAAAAGCAAGGATATTGTGTTGAGGACTAAGGTACGCCTAACCAAGCCATGGTATTTTCAATGGCATCATATGCATGTCAAAACTGGTCACTGAGTAAGGAAGACTGAAGAAGAATCAATGTAATTCAAGTATGGTGCTGGAGAGTAATATTGAAGGTACCACGGACTGGTAAAAGAACAAATAGAACTGTCTTGGAAGAAATACATCCAAAATGTTCCTTAGAGGCAAGGATTTTGAAATTTAATCTTAGACACTTTAGACAGGTTGTTAGTAGAGACCAGTCCCTGGAGAAGGACATGGTGCTGCTAAAGTAGAGGGACAGCAAAAAAGAGGAAGGCCCTCATTGTGATGGATTGTCACAGTAGCTGCAGCAATGGGCTCATGCACAGGAACTGGTGCAGGACCGGAGAATGTTCTGTTCTGTTGTACACGGAGTCACTGTGGGTCACAACTGACTGGATGACACCTAATAAGAGGGTTGCCTGGTCATTGTGGGGGACCCGCCTCCACAACCAAATGGGTCCAAGGGGTGGTTGTGTAATTGAAGGTGAAATTAAAGAGGTATCAGACAAGACATGCATGTGCTCACCTCTGCCATGAAGACTGGAACCAATGAGTGAGTAATGTCTACTCTCAACAGGCTTATATAACCTTGGGCCAGCAAACCGCGCCATACACATACCTAACATGAAGGGGTTGTATTAGAGGCATACACAGGAAGGGGCGGCCTAAGGGCATAGCACAACAGGAGAAGGGGCATACCCATGATAGAAAGGCACATATGAAACAAGATGGATGGGTCCTAAGGGAACAATCTATGGTCTTTACCAGAAGAGAGTGGGTCCTACTTAGGGTGGGGCAGACAATAGGGTCAGACTGCTGTTGATGGCAGAGAACCTTCAGGCATATAAAGTTGCAACCTTGTGCTTGGAAGAAGCAGCACCTTAAAATTGGTCTGACTACAGGGGACACTGTGAAGAACAACTTTCGTGAGGAGAACGAGACTGGGATACTTCTCCAATTTATAAGCCTGAAGGCCTTCCTCCACCAGAATCTGCCTCTCAGACTCCTTAACTATGAGCTGAGAGAACTTGTCCACATACACTCTCTTCCTGGTTCTGTTTCCCACAGGCCATGAGTCATACTCGGACTGCCTTGGTTAGAGAGAGGGCCCTGAACCAACCATAGAAACTTTTGTCTTGCATAATGTGTACGTACATCTGTTTTAGGTCACAAGCAAACTCTAATCTCAAATATAGTTTGAGGAGACATTTATTAAGTCTTAAACGGGACAAAATACATCATCCAAATGAAGGAGAACATTAACAGGAGACCAAAATGGTGTCCAAGGATTTACAGATGGGAAGCTGGTTAAATAAACCATGGGACTAAGGAAACAAGGAAACTGCCATGAATTCATGATTGGTGGCAGAACAGTTCATCAGAGTTATCCATGGGACTATAGAAACCACGATGACACAAGTCCATGGTGTTAGATAGGAGAGTTTCAAGATTGGTCCATGGCCTTCTTACAAGACAGTGGAGGGATGACCGACAGGGCATTCATTACTCCTGACTATGCAGCCACACCCAGCCAGGCCCTAGGAGAGACTGGAGATGGGGAGGTAATCCATTTGCCAATAGACCCTGCCCGAAAGCAAGATAGTCTATATCGGGGTGCTCAATACGTCGATCCGATCTACTAGTCGATCGCAAATGTAGTGTGGGTGGCATGGCATTAAAAAAATAGACATAAACCTATCATCAATCCTATCGCTTAATTGATATACAGTGCCACTAATCAGATGAAATCTTAGGTGTCAAATGCATGTGCAAACAACTGCACTAAGTGCAGCAAAACTGACAAGCTAAATTATCACCACTTTTTAGACCTTGTTTTTTTTCTCTTAAATGTAAGAAAGGGTATTAAAATGAGTGGGGGAGCTGGACCAAGTAAGAAGACAAAAACATATCACTTTCATACGGAATGGGAGATTTTGACATTACAAGCCGACATTCAGCTGAGTCCAGAGCGCATGAACAGGTCTGGAACTTACTCGCACAGGGAAAGTACCCAAACAGGAGAAAATGTGCTACCTCCTTGACTGCATTATTTGGCTCTTCTTATTTATGTGAGTCAGCCTTTTACCACATAAAGATCATTAAGTCCAAGTACTGTTCCACCATGACTTGACGATCATTTGGAAGTGTGCTGGAGGATGGCTGTCAGCAGCTACTGTCTAGACTATGCATCCCTGGCTCATTCCATTCAGTGTAAGCTGTCAGAACTCAGGTCATGACAAAAAATTATAGTTATGCAAGGTACATAAATATACATTGTACATATAAAGAATTGTCAATGCATTTATGAATAAATGTAATAAATATATTTAATTTTTATAGTTGGTAGATCATTTTGACTTGATCATTTTATAAGTAGCTCGCATGCTGAAAAAGTGTGAGCACCCCTGATCTATATACTCTGTTAAATGATCAGAAGGAATTCAGTGGAGGCTTAAGTCACAAGGAGACTCTGCAAATGGATAGTTGCCTCAAAACTGCAAGGTCAACAGTTAGAAACCACCAGCTGGATCCTTGGGAGAAAGACAAGGTTTCCTACTTCCGAGTTACAAACTTGGAAACCCAAAGGAGTTTGAATTGACTTTGATGGCTGTGAGTTTTGTCCTTTTTGCCTTCTGCAACTGGGGTGTTCAGAAATTAAGCTCTAATACACTGCAAATGGATTATGGGGTGTTTTTTTTCATTGGTGCTCTGAATTTAAGCTGTCCTACACATCCCAATCAGGGTCCCCACATGTAGCTGTGGTCCGGCCTGTAACTGTGATGAACTGATGTGCTGTCAATCTTGCTTCTGTGAGTTTCCTTTGTAAAAAAGGAAATGACTTTGAGTGACTCGTTTTCTGAAAATCCAAGGGCACTATTATGTCCTCTAGGCTGAGAGTCTCCCCCACTGGGATGAATTATCTAGGTCCTGTTTAAGCTCAATTACAAATCCGTAAAAGCTTCACTTTTCAGGGTTTGCTAAAAAGTGCTAAGTCACTGTTTAAAAAATAACACGGGGAAAGGAACGGAGAAAAACTCAGTCAGTTGTGGCCAGTCACCCTCTGGGACAGGGAAGAACGGCCCTGGTGGGTTTCTGAGACTGTAACCCTGTGGGTAGAAGAACGCTTTGTCCTTCTGCTGGGGAGCAGCTGGTGGTTTGCAATTGCTGGCCTTGTGGTTAGCGGCCCAACACCCCCCACCCCCCGCCACCCCCACTCCGCGGGTCAGTCATCCTAACGCAGGGCTCCAGGATGGCGAGGGTGCCTAGGGCAAGCGCTAAAAAACTAGGGAATGCTAATGAACACATGGATGTGTGAACCCACGTCGAACTCTAGGCTCTTCCCGCTTCTCCACGCAGCGGTCAGAGGCAGTGCTGCTGCTGAAGGGGCAGGCGGTGGGTACCGACGCGGACGCCCGGGCCCCCTCCGCAAAGGCCGGCGAGGAGCGGTCGGCGGCCGCGCGCCAACAGCAGGGCGCCGCGCCGGGCGGCCAGAAGCCGCGCCGGTAGGAGGGTCCCGGGGCTCGCGCGGCCGCCGTCCCCGGGCGCCGCCCCGGTCTGATGACGTCACCGCCAAGCTCCTCCCCTCGCCTCCCAACACCCTCCGCTCGCCGCCGGACCCGCCCTCCTCCACCACGTGTCCTCCCTCCCTCCCGAGGGGCCGCGCGCACGGGAAGCCTGAGGGGCGGAAAGGATGGCGCTCTGACAGCCGGGCTGGAGCCCTCGGCGTCCCCACCCCGCGGCTCTGGCCCGTTCCCCGGCCGTTCGGTCCGCCGGTG